AGGGAGGGAGTTCCACAACTGAGGGGCCACGTCTCTCATCCCCACCAGTTGCACTTGCAAAGAAGGTGGGACCGAGAGCAGGGCCTCCCTATACGATGTTAATCTCCGAGATGGGTCATAGGGGGATATACGTTCAAAGAGGTAGGCTGGGCCGGAACCATTTAGGTCTTTATAGCCTCAAGTCAGCACTTTGAATTGTGCTCGGTAGCGTACTGGAAGCCAGTGGAGCTGACGTAATAAGGGGGTGGTATGCTCCCTGTATGCTGCTCCAGTGAGCACCCTGGCTGTCTCCCGTTAGACCAGTTGAACCTTCTGAACAGTCTTCAAAGGCAACCCCACGCGTTGGTTCACCAGAAGGAAATGTGCAACCAGTTGTGGCAATCACACTATGAAGTGTGTGGCATTAACAGGGTTAGTGCAGGGCCAATGCAGACCAGCAAAATGTTGTGCCAAACAGATTTTTTTTTCCATGAGTATAGACAAGCACATAGAGAGAATAATACTCCTAGCCTGGTTATTTTTCTTTTGTTCTGAGATGGTACAGCCAAGACTCAATTTAAATACTTTAATAGGGAGACACACAATAATTTCTCTCTCTTTCTGGTAAAATACACCTAAACCCCATATTGGAATGTTTGTTATTGTCTCTGCCTGACCAATGTTCCACTCCTATCTTACATATTATACCAAGGAGATTAGCTGCAAGCCTAGTATTGTTATTATTTTCCTCCTCTTGTTGCTGACTGTTTTAAATCCACTTATGTCGATTCTCTCTTCTTTTTTTATGTTGCTGTAGACTAGAAGCTTTTCTTGTGAAGTAATGCAAGACCAGTGTGGGTGTAAGTGAAAGGAGAGTCAGGACTTATGTCTCCCGACCTTCCTCCTAAAAGGGTATCAGGTGTGATACCTCTCTAAAGAATCTAGCTAGTAATCTCTTGAGGAGTAGGTGTGTCTGTTGAAAACATTTCCTCCCCATCTACCATTTCAATTGCACTTCACAGCACACTGAAAATTGTCAAGGATGTTAATTATTGGGCTCTTGAACAACCCTCTTTTGATTTAAGCAGGCTTCCCCCAATATTTAAGAAGGTTTTTTTCATCAATGGTACAGTATAATTATGGAAAATAGTTTGTTTTGGCTAACATCCTTGTGTTTTGTGGGTGTGCTTTGTGGGTTATATTGGTGAGCCTAAAAGCAGAGGCTCTGCCTACAAACGCAATTTTAACTGCTTGATTCTAGGAGCTGTGGCTTGCCTGTCCAAAAAGATGCATGAAATAAAGAAGGAAGGAAAGATAAAGATAAAGCCAAAGCAAATAACATTGAGTTTAAAGTAACCTACTGTAGAAATGGCCTGTGTTACATCTGTTCTAGTGAAAACAGCAAACACATTTGTGACATATTTTATGTCCTTTATAAGCCTTCATTGACTACAGCTCATTTCATCAGATGCTTCATGAAATTGATTGCTTTCCATTTTTTGTGGTTGAATGTGATGCCTTCCATCTGAAGTAGGATGCAGTCTGTGAAGGACAATGCTAAACTATAATTGCGAGTCTTCAAGGTCCCACAAAATTCTTTGTTGAGTGCCCTTTTGTTTTAAAAGTCAACTTCTTGACCTGATGAGGTGATGATTTGTAGCAGTATATATTGAGAACCTCCTATCTGAAATGCATGGGATCAGAAGTATTTTGGATTTCGGATATTTTCAGATTGTGGAATATCCATATTTGCTTATATGTACACAATCAGAATCCAAAAATAATTTCCCCAATTAGAGACTTTCCAACATGACCTTGAAGGTGTCTACGGACAACGCCACTTCTTCAGCTTAGAAATTGAGATGAGCACCACCACCACCACCCCCTCCCCAGAGTTGGACACGACTAAACTTAATGTCAGGGGAAACCTTTACCAGATATTTTGGAGATGGGACCCAAGAAAATACAAAACTCATATCTCTTTCAAACACACCTTAAACATAGAAACTGAAGATTATTTTCTACAATATTTTAATAATTTTGTGCATGAAACAAATTTTGTGCATACTAAACCATCATCAAGCAAAGGTGTCATTATCTTAAGCACCTGTGTAGACAATCTTGGATTTGGGAGTATTGTGGATTTTGGAATGCTAGACAAGGGTTTCACAAGGTGCAATAGGCTATTTGTATGTAGTTGTAGAAGCATTACAAGCACATTCTATCAGCCTAAAAGAGGAGACGTTGGAAAGTCTAGAAGTGGGGAAAATATTTTTGGATTGTAACTCCCAGAATTACCACACAAATTATGAACTATGCTTGGTGGAGGATTGAGGGGATTCTACTGGAAACATAATATTTCAGACTATGGGAAAGACTGTGATCTTAAAGAAAATTGTAGGGAGAACAACATGATCACAATTTTATTTACTGATTAGACTTCTGTAATATGTTCTGTGTGGGTCTGCTTTTTAAAAACTTTAATAATTTCCATTGGTATGAAATGTGCCTGTTACATTGTTGTTTGGAGTTGGCTAAACTAGCTTTACCTTTACCTTTAATATATAGCTGTATATGGCTGGGTTTGGGATATTTTATGCCTTTCTTTTTCTCATTTCACTCTACTGAACATTAGCTTTTCCTCAGAAGAGAAATGCTCTGTGTGCCCTTTCCATCTGAAGTATGGCAAGGTCAACTCTACAGTGGCACCTCCCTCTCTCATAAAGATGTGTTCCTCTTGCATTGCCCACACAATGCTATTCTATTTTAAGAATCAGCATTGTAATTCTGATTTAACTGCTTCTTCTTTTTGCTGACATAGATTATTTTAATTTTCTTGTTTTGATTAAAAACTATGATTTTGATATGATGCATTGCTTTACTGTTAGCCCCATTGTGGACTTTCTGAAATATAAAATTGTGGAGAAAATATACATCGATTAGGAATTATAATAAAACTACAAAATACAGCTGGATCTAGATCTAGTCATAACTCAGATTAAATCCCCTAACACCAGTTGATTGAAAGCAATGTCTCTTTAATTAGTCGTGACTCACTTGTCCCACTAACTGCTATTGCTCTACTATTTTATATATGCCAAAAGGTTGATTTGTTATGACTGAATATTTCCTTCCAGGTTCTTATCTTATATTAAAAATGTAAGCTAAATTAATTGTCTTAGAAACTAAACTAGATGGTCATGGTCGCTACATGTAAGCTCTAAATTGCTGGAATAAGGAGTGGAGAAGGTCTATTACCATTCTAGTCAGCCCTCCACATTCACTAGAATTTGATGCACAAGACCCCAATGAAAGTGGAAAAATGCTAATAAAGGAATTGCTAATTTTTAACCTGGGAATTTCTAGGGCCTCCACTACTCAGTTAATTTCTAGGGCCTCCACTACTAAAAGCTAACCACAGGATTGCACTTGAACAAACTCTTTCCAATGCAATAGACAAACATTTTTCCCAAACTCTTTCAGCCACTAAGCCCTTTTTGAAGCAAAAGGTTCTTGTAGAGCCCCCAAAAAATGTTTAGTGTTTTGTTATATCTGTCTGTGTTCTATGGGGCATGTTACACACAATATGTATACAGAAGTATGAATAATAAGGTATATGTATTAATATAGGAAACAATAGTAACAAAGAATGGGAGACAATAGTATTCATTGTTTAATTAATTGTGCCACTCCACACTTTGTTATTGCTGATGCTTAGCTTATTCACAGGTTTACTGCATTTTAGGATTTTTTTGGTATTTTTTGTTATATATTTGTGTACTTGTATACTTTGCATTGTGGTTCAGATGTGGTACCATAGTGCTTCTGAGTCGACCTGGAGAGATAGTGGTGAGATACAAAAAATTATTATTATTATTATTATTATTATTATTATTATTATTATATCTACAAAATGATATAACAACTAGTTAATACATTTGGGAAATGTTACATGTACACCCAAAGTTAATGTCAACAATGTGCATGCTTCTAGCTGCAGAGTTAATTTAACAACTAACAATTGAAGGAGGAGGAGGATGGCACTGCCGCATGCCCTTACGCCAGCCCAAGGAGCAGCAGGGAAGCAGTACTGGGAAAGAGTATAATGATAAGTAATGTTGAAGGCAGTAGGAAAAATGAGATTACAGATGGAATGACTCCAGAAAAGTAAGCTAAGTTCCTGAGATTGAAAGGCCATGAGCAGAGCTGTAGCAAACAGTTCATCTGAAGCTTTCATTCACCATAAATCATAGGGCCTCATCAGACAGGGCAATTTTAGCATCCTAGGATGGAACCCCGTGACAGCCATCACACTATGTTGTATGACATCTGGCAGAGGTCCTGCCCCCAACCAGAGTGGAAGCATCCTTGGGCGCATCCCCCACAACACGGGAGCTTGCCCATGTTGTACTGGCTCCAATGGAGCCAGCATGGGTCCTCGCCAGGAGGGCGATGCTTCCCATGTGTGATGTGGGAAGAGTTGCCAGAGGGATTAACACACATGGCGACAGATTCACCTCGCTGCCCCCTCTATACCACGGTGAAATTGAATACTTCACCTGGCCTTTGTAATGAGATCAGAAAACTGCATGTCATCGCATAACAACAAAAGAGACTTGAGGCCATGAGGAGGCAAAGGAAAAAAAACACCCTTACATTGTTTGGGTAAAAGGGGACCCATAAAAGCAGGCTTTGGACTACACTGTGGCCCAAGTGCAATGCTTTGTCTATGTTGGTTCTAGTGTTGTAAAATTGGCATGTAGGAAACAGTGCCCTGGAAACTGGATGAGACAACCTTTGGTCTGATCCATTCGTTATTTGTTGGTAAGTGATATATTCTTAAGCCCGAATCCAGTGTGTTCTGTGTGGGACTTTAAGTGAACATTGATAGGATTGCAGGCATGTTAGCTATTAAAATGGAACACATTCAGTTTCATTCAGAAAGTAATTCAATTTTTTTTCTATTGTTTTAGAAGGGGGAAAGGAGAAGAAACACTCACTAGCTATGTATATATTTGCAGGAAAAATTGCTGGCTATGCAACAAGAAAGAGAAGTTGTTGTTCAGCAGTACAAAAGCCTTGAAGAAGAGCTCCAGACCCTTCGTATTTATTACAGGTAATGTAATTTGGAAAAAATCAGTGGAAAAATGTTTGTCTATTGCATTGTTATTCCTGGAAGATTTTTAAAACTCTGTGGAACAAGAATGAAGTTACAATATCCTTCATTTCAAATTATCAGATCTATTTTTATCTTTTTATTCCTTGAGTGCATTGCCATATCCTATAAAGGAAAAATCCTAAATATGCTGTTTTATTGTTTTGTTTTGCATTTGGCTTGCCATACCCCAAGAACAAAAAACACAGCACTACACAATTTCTGAAGTGTGCGCGCACATTGCTTTACAAATGCCTGACAAAGAAATGGTTGATGTGATTGATTGTCCTTTCCAACACAAACCTTTGACACAAATATTTCATTTGATGCCGTTTGACACAAATATTTCAAACTAATATGGAAGTTATTAACAGCAGATAAGATTTCACCAGTTACATAATGGCATAGCCCCAAGTCTCAATAAAGGAATGGCTTCCTAAGATATGCTATTTTACCCTGATGGGTTAGCTTGTTTATAGGTGAGTAAATGAAATTTTGTTTCATTATGTTTAATTAAAATATGTTTCTCCTTTCATCAGCTACATAAAGATTGCTGAGGAACTCAGTTAACATTTTCTCTGGTCTTTGATCAAATAATAATTACATAAATTAAGAATCAAAGAAGACCATACATAACACACACACACATATCTCAAACCGCCTTGAGTCACGTTCAGGCTGAGAAAGGTGGGATACAAATACTGTAAATAAATAAAGTGTCTCTGTCTGTCCGTCTGTCTGTACCATAAAGGCTGTTTCTAGATGACAGTACTGTGGTCCTCTGTGGTGTCACTGGGAAAGAAAGTGGCATGTGTATGAGGGGAAACCACAAAGGATCTCATCATATTAGGGTGAATTTGGTGGCATATGCCAGTTCCTCTTTCCTTTTACTACAGAGCTCGTTGGCTCTCATTCTCCCATCCCACAGTGCACGGCAACTTCGGGTGGAGCTCTATCGTAAAAGGGAAGGCGAAGTGGTGCATGCCACCACTGCTGCAACATGCAAAACTTCCCTTGTTGTCTTAGATTAATGGGGGGGGGGGGTGGACAGCGGACACTTCCCCCATGGGGTGGGGACTCCAGTGAGTCGGATGATCTGGGGTGTGGGACAGTGGGTTCCCCACACTCACGGATGGGCACCACCTGAATCGCTATGATTCCAATGGCACATTTGATGAGGTTGCAAAAGAGCCATATTGCTATAGTAATATTGGGGGACCCTCTCAGAGCTGGAAAAGGGAGAAAGGGGAGGGAAAGGAAAGGAAAGAAGAGAGAAAGAGGGAGGGAGGGAGGGAGGGAGGGAAGGAAGGAAGGAAGGAAGGAAGGAAGGAAGGAAGGAAGGAAGGAAGGAAGGAAGGAAGGAAGGAAGGACAGAAGGACAGATAAACAGAAAGAAGGAAGGGGGAGAGGGAGGGAAAGGGAAAGGGAAAGGGAAAGGAGAAGGTATGAGGGGAGGGAAAGACAAAGAAGGGATGAAAACAAGGGACCAACAATCCCTCCAACACCAAGGCAACACTAGTAGTTGCATTTAGAAGATCACAGAGCACAGTCAAATCTGGCTTCTGAGAATGACCTCTATATCTGCTATATGTTCACAGTTAGGACACAATGCCCCACATTGTGTTATGAAAATCCCAGGCCCCAAACCAGGGTCATGTTAGCTTTTAGTGATCTGGCCATGGTCAAAACAGACTTGGCATCGGTTGCTTGGCACCAAGTACAGATACACTCAATTGTACTTCAGCCTTTCTGTAGGATGTCTAATGGAGTTCATAGAGCTGTGGAAAACAGTTTGATAATCTCTTCCTGAATTGTGTTTTTATCAAGATAGTAATGTCTTAACTACAATTGGTAATTCCAACTAGAGCAGGCACATTTAATCAGTTATGGATTGGGGAATGAACATGGAAGTAAATCCCACTGATTCAATGGGTCTGGACTAGATAGGATTCAAACCAATGAATTTAAATTTGATACTTAGGTTTTTTTAAAAAAAGGTTGTTAGATATTATTTTTCAAAGCTATTTAATATATTAAAAAGTGAAGATATTTGAATATAAAAAGGAATCTATTATGATCCCCTGAGCCAAGAAAGAATTGGCTGCAAATGAGGATAGGCAAGTTTCTTCTTTGCATTTTAACTCGGGAAAGGTTACCATCCTTCCTGATTCCTGAAATGATACTTTGCATAACAGTTAGACGTTACACTTGCCAGTTTAACTATTCTAATTTTCCAGCCACTGAATTCCGTAGATGATGATTAATGCAAATCTTAAAAACCTGAATGATGTGCAAATGCTGTTAGAATAATCCATCCATAGAACAAAAAGTACACCAAATTGTACCGTGAGAGTGTTTTTGCTGCAACAATAAGCAACTATATTACAGCTTTAATTTTTAAAAATGATTCAATCACTCTAAATAGAATTAACTGTTTGTATTTTAACATTTTATGGTTCCATTTCCTGATCAACTTGCCTTGTCTGGTTTGTCCTGAATCATTTTGCTGGGCTATGCACTAAATGCCCTAAAGGCACCAAATTCTGAAGGTTGAGAGGGCCAGCTCTGGTTAGTAATCGGATGGGAGATAGCCAGTGCATAACAAGTACTGTGTGTTGAACTGTACTTGGAAGAAAATCCTGAGAGTGCTCTGGGGACCGTAAGATCAAGCCAGCCCTTACTCCAGGAAATAGTGCCCGGCTGCTCACTGGAGGGAAGGATATTAGAGGCAAAGAGGAAGTTCTTTAGCCACATCATAAGACGACAGGAAACCTTGTAGAAGATAATGATGCTGGGGGAAATTGAAGGAAAATAGAAGGAGGGGCTGACCAAGGGCAAGATGCATGGATGGCATCCTTGAAGTGACTGGCTTGGCCTTGAAGGAGGGGGTGACCATGGGGGTGGCCACAGCCGACAGGAAGCTCTGGCATAGTCTGGTCCATAAGGTCATGAACAGTTGGAAGTGACTGAATGAATAAACAACAACAATCATCGTAATAATAATAACACCTTATTTATATTCTGTCCTTCTCACCCCGAAGTGGACTCAGGGTGGATCATAGTACACATACAGTCAATGCCACTTTGTATAGACAATACAGAGACAGACAGAAAAGAAGGAGGTGTGATGTTTCAATTCAATGTTCAGCTTTTTGGTGCCATGGAAGGTTGGGCTCGAATCCAGCCACAGGGGGTGCTGTCTCTCCATCTTCTATGATGAAGAGCCATCAGGACTTACTCCTTCTTTTTAGTCACCAATCATTTTCTGATCTTTCTTTATGGTGTCATAAAATACCTCCCCCGCTTTTAGCGATACCTAATTTCTGTAATTACAGCTAAAGGTGTTTTTGAACTGCTTAGGCAACAATAAACTGGGCTGACAGTCAGCAGCTCACGCCAATCCCGGGCTTCGAACTGGGAACTTTTTGGTTGATAGATCTTACAATTGCTGGTGATTTATCAGCTGTGCTAAACCTTGACTCTTAGCTGTGCTAAACCCTGGCCAGTACTGTAGGCTATGTTTCAGAACTGGCAAAACCACCTCTGAGTATTCTACCATGATAGCATTCTTTGCATCTCTCTTTCATTTCCCAGGCCTTGGTGGTGCTTTCTTGGTTATAAATATATGTCTGTGTACCATGTTTCTGATGGAGTGGACTGCAGTCCATGGAAATTTAAGAAAGTCTTCAAAGTTTCACAATGTTTTTTATGGGTTTGCTGTGACAGACTAGCATTGGTATTTCCCTGGAAATTTCAGCAGGGGCGAGAACACAGAAAGTTCATTTCTGCAAACAGTTCTATTTTTCATATCCCAACTGACTGTGTGTGATATAGTGATTGGAGTTGTAGTCCAAAAAATTGAAAGGGCACAAGGCTGCAAATGATCTTTCTGTCCAACATTTGCCAGTTTCTTGTCCTTTTTTCAACAGTAAAAACTCACAGAGGATCAGTTAAATTTAAAATAAATTAGTATGTTTTGTGTCAATTTTCTAAAATAACATCATTACCCTCATTAAAAATATATGCAATGTACGTCTCTCTCTCTCTCTCTCTCTCTCTCTCTGTGTGTGTGTGTGTGTGTGTGTGTATACACACATACACATATGCATGTATGGATTGGGACTTTATTTTTAGAGTAGAAAGATGATTATCATTATGATTGACTATATATTTGTAATTTAAATTATATGGATCCATAGAAAAACTAGTAATTCTCAATTCCATTTCTCTTCAGTAGCTCCATCAACAGGAATTGAAAGGCTGGGGTAGTTTTTTAACCTTTAGAAAGAACCCAAAATATATCCCAGAACTGTTTGGAATGAAGTGTTTTAAATTTTCTGAAGAATGTAAAACACAGACTATAAGAGCCCTCTTTTCTATAAGGTGACTTTAACCAATGTAATGCCTTTAAAAGGAGGCTTGATAAACAGGTTAGTTTATCTGATTGATCACTTTCCAGGCAGGGACCTTCCCAGGCCTTTAGATGCCAGGAGTAATCTTTTAACAGTCTAGTATATCCTACTTCCTTCTTTCTCATTTCACCTTTCAGTCTCTTTTAGGTTCTCTACTCTTTGCTGGCTTCACATGTGCCAAGTAACTTCCTCTCATGGGGTATTATGGGTTGCAGGTCCCAAACCCTTCCTTTTTTTCTAACTTCCCCTTCTCTGTTTTCTTGTTTAGCATATCATAAGAACAAAGTTCTGCCGATCACTGTCCTAAGCATCTGGCCTTACAGTCATAAATTTGTACACATCAGTCTGCTTTATTGAATTATGTAACAGTGGCCCTAGTGGCAGAATGCAATAGTGATTGTGTATAAAGCCACAATGGCTTTGCATAACGTGTGACATGAGTATACTGTTTTGAAAGGGTGCTTAAAGCTGGCAGTTATATTCTGGTTGGAGCCATGTGCCAGTTTCTCACCAGAATTCCTCCACCTCCAATTGGTATTTGCTCCAAAG